AGCCTCTATAAATAATGAAAGCCTGTAATATTATCACTTTATATTTGATGTTATAATGACATTGTTTTATGGGGACCCACGGCATGTCGTCTACCTTGAACACAATTTCCGCCCAGAGGGGGTTTTCGAGTCGCACCGGACGGGACGAGAATTATATTCGATTGGACGATCGCTAAGGCGACCAGGAGCCGTAGAAAGTCGCACGTGGAGACCAGTAGTTCCTATGCTTTAAGCTCTAGGTAAGCTATAGCACGCGCGTATCGTTGACGCGCTGGACCTATCCTAAGGGCACGGAGTCCAGTAAAATTACGCACTTATTTGCCGCTATAGACAACACATATCGACGTAATCTTACCTGCACACACTACCCCCCCGAGACCCAGCTGCGGACTATAACCGACGAATCTATGTATGTTTACCATCACGTGAATGCGAGGGGCGGATTGGGTTGGGCTTTAGTGTGGATCAACAAAGAACATGTTGTTGTCAAAGTATATCCTTATATGTAGTCTATAGTATAGTTAAGCTAGATTGTTGCACTGAGCGTTTGCCGCTTTGCATGACAAAACCATAAGTCATTAATCAACTCTGTATTTTGCGTGCTAATTCTGTCTTATACCGTGTTCGACACTCGACTCGCGAGCTAGTACCCCCAAGTGTGAGTATGTATCACGTGAAGAGGGGTATGTAATCATGAGGCGATTACAAAACGTTAGTAGAATCGTGCCCCCGCGAGAATCACAGTAGTTATATCAAGGCCTATATTACAACGGTAGAGGCTGAGGATAGGTAAGTTTAGAGAGGACGCCGTAAGTACGCTTTGAGTAAGACACGTGAATTTAGAAGTAAGTAGTGAAAGAGTAATAGTAAGTAGAAGTCAGTAGTAGTAGAATTGATTTCTGACGCAGCGCATAGAAGCCGGCAGACGGAAGGACCCGGAAGGGACGGATCCCCCGACTCGCGAGAGAGACGACCGCAGCCGCCATCTGTGGTTCATTTTCGGCAAGCGGAAGACGTGGCCCGATCCACCCACCCGAGCGCTAGTAAAGCCATCGTTAAACCTACAGCCACCGACACCCTAAACTACCGCATGTGTCCATTACCAACCAACACACTGACCTGCCTCAAATGCTTTGCCATTGCTCTTACGTTCCGTATGGCCCCCGCATCTTATGCTACTCCCGCCAACCCCGGCTGAAATACAGTCGACATCATCTGAGTCCACCGCCCACGACACCCCCCGACGTGTCACGTTAATAGAACCTAGCTTAGCCTCCTTGCGGCACCCCTCCACGTACGAAACCATATGTGAAATACAACGCCACCCCCTCGAACCGCGACTGTAAAAAAGACGAAGGCACACGGAAGAACAGACCCAGAGATAGCGTCACACCGTACCCGCACACCGCGCGCCGAGAGGGCGCACGTCACTAAACCACACAGGAGACACACTGCTATTCACTAATACTTTTTCTCTATTCATATATTGCATTTTGGGTAGATGGAGAGAAGATAGAGAAGAGACTTGAAGATCGAGATCCCCATGGTTTGTCCGAACCGAGAAGAGGACCAGCACGCTGCACGTACGAACGGTGAACCCTCGCGGGCAGACTTGAAACAGAACTGAGGAGAACAGGATCAAGAGAGTGGAGTGACAACAACAATGTTTTTTTGTCCAAACCAACAACAACCCGCCCACCCCTCCACCGTGAGGAATACATAGTTCCCGCTCACTGGCGCTGGCCTAGGAGCCGTGGAGCTGGCCTGCGACTGCATGGCTCGCCGCCAGTAATGGCACATTTGTGGATTTCAGCAAATCGATATGTTGTTCATGACACAGAAATACCAGGCAAGTATGAACCCAATTTCAACGATAGTTAGAGGTTAAATTTTAGTTGCTGATATAACTTGAGGCATATTCACTTCGGATAAGAGGCATTAATTGCCTACCACACTTGTTTTATAGTCGCGTATAAGCGTGCTTAAGTTGGTCCCGCGCATCCCTAATGGTTGGATCTATAGCCCAGCGGCAACTGTACGCAGGCTATAGTTACTAGAGCTATGCAGTACTCAGTGGCAGTAGGCAGTAGGCCCTAGCCCCTAGTGAAAGTTTCAAGTTGTTGTGGATCTGGTGAGTTAAGTTTCATGTTGCTTGTCCTAGGCCACTTCGCAGGTTATGTCGTTACTGAAAATGTATGAAATGTTTATCTACTGATCTGTGAAGCGTTTACGACCTGAGTGATGACAGGTCAAGAGAGGGGCTTGCACGCGTAGTTTTTAGTCTTGTGTACAATCAGATTTACTGAGTCATGTATAATTTTTTTAGCTCAGCTGACGAAGTCAGATCCAGCTTGTAGAATCGCATGAATGTCCGTCCGTCCATCCGTCCGTGTGTCAACAGTTACGGCCTAAATCTTAACCGCTCGACGTACGATCTTGATATTTGGGACGTCGGGGGGGATTGCGAAAAGGACTCAGGATGTCGAATTTGGGGGTACAAGGGTCAAGGTATAGGAGGAAATACGGAATTGCGGCACAACTCTCAACGGCTCGACCTGCGCTCTTAATATTCGATGTATAGTGTGATGGGCAGGAAACCCATCACCAGCACGAAATTGGAGGTCACATGTCAAAGGGCAGTGGGGGAAAGGACAGATATCAGACAATTTCTAAGGACATGGTCTAACGGACTGAGTGAAAAACTTTTTTGTTTCCGCGCTGACCTACCATTTCTATCACTTTATTGAAAGGACCATGAAATGTGCTTTCCGCTGACGTGCGAAGAGTAAGTGTCTGATAACTTTTTGACCCTCAAGAGGAGGGTTAAACATGGATATGTTGACTGTTAACAAAGGACTGAACTGCTTTTGCTATTAGAGCTCCCTCCACCTGTGTGAATGTGAGGCTACAGTAGGACCATGAAATGTGCTTTCCGCTGACGTGCGAAGAGTAAGTGTCGGATAATCTTTTGACCCTCAAGAGGAGGGTTAAACATGGATATGTTGACTGTTAACAAAGGACTGAACTGCTTTTGCCATTGTGGATGTGAGGCTACAGTTGCACAGTTCAATTGCAAAGGCAAATGTTTGTTGAACAAGGTTTACGCTCCTTAAATCATATTATTTTCTAAAGCAGTCAGTCTGTATTAGCAACCTGAGTAGCACCCTGTATTAGCACACTGTAATGAACCCTGAATTCTCGCGTGGGTAGGCAAAAACATGGGG